ATTTATACAAAGGACTGATGGCAGGAAAGAAAACTTCCTCTATATCAAAGAAAAATGGGAAAAAGAACGGCAGGAACAAATAACTGAGGAAGAATGGTTAAACATATGTCAAGCACAGTGCAAGGCCACCAGCTCCAGGATCTGGAGAGAATTTAATTGGAAAAATATGGTTAGATTTTGGGCAGCACAGTGCACAGTTTGTAGAGCTGCTGCCTCTCAGCGAGAAGGTCCCAGGCTCAAATCCCTGTCAGCCAGCCAGGGGCCTTTCTGGGTGGAGTTTGCATGTTCTCTCCGTGCATGCGTGGGTTTTCTCCGGGTGCTCCAGTTTCTTCCCACAGACCTAAGACATGTATGTTAGGCTGATTGGTAACTCTAAATTGTCTCTGGGTGTGAGTGAGAGAGTGAATGGTTGTTTGTCTCATTTGTCTCTCTGTGTCCCTGTGATGGACTGGAGACCTGTCCAGGGTGTACCCACCTCTCGCACAGTGACTGCAGGGTATGGGCACCAGTGACCCCATGACTCGAAACAGAAGAAGCGGGTAAAAGATGATGGATGGATGGATGGATGGATGGATGGATGGATGGATGGATGGATGGGATATTATATGACTTGGCTTTAGAAAAATACTAGAATATGAGATACCTAAAACGTAAAACATTTTATTTGAAAATCTTATACACAACATAACAGAAAATATATTAACAGCAAGTTAAAAAAAATGAGAAGATTGTGGCATAAAGTGGATCCACCGACCATAGAGCAGTGGCTGTGCATTGTGGAAGAGATATTTGAAATGGAAAAAGTCACTCAAAGACTGCAAGAGGTGCAATTTAATGAAAACGAGAAACATAAACTTATTATACCTTCACAACTATGAGAACCCTGGAAAAATAACCATTGTTTAAAAATGTATGTATATTAAACTTATACGCTGTAACAATTCTAAGAAAATTTCAATTAAAAATTAGTAAAGAAATTCTTGTTTAACAGAACTTGTTTCAAATTATCACACTTTGTTAATTTATTGTTAATAACTCATACAATTAGCTGACACTTTAAATATATAGCTTGTTGGTAAAAAAAAAAAAAAAAATAAATCAGTTGAATTGTTAACTCCAAAATTTCATTGTCATTGTTACAGATTTCTTTGATTTATTTTTTAAATATAAAAATATATTTATATATTACACAGTAAATGTCTGCTGTTCTTCAATAAAAAGTATAATTTTGCCATATGTGTGTGATGAAACAGAATTTATTCTGCTTTTCATCAGAACGCAGTGGTGCTTCTCTGACAGCCGTGCACGTGATGAATGTTGGAATGCATTTTGTGTGATATCAAAAACCTGACAACTACGTTATCTCACGGGTTTGTGTTTTTCATGTCCCTTCCCTGCCCCGGTCTGTCAGTCAGTCCTACAGCAGCTCATCCTCCCACCGTCACTTCCCACAGAACAAGCTGCTGGAAGAACTGGCATTAGAACTCACAAGCACAACGGAGAATGCATTATAGATGCCCACCTCACCATGTGTCACATCATGTCTTGGTTTGCGTACCTACCACACATTTGATCTTCTTCATGCATGAAGAGCAACCAAACCAGATCAGAGAGATGTTCAGCTGCAGAAAGAGCTTGACACTAATGAACGCATTTGTGTGCAACCCTCAAAAAAGATGAGTTCATTAAGTTTAGACCAATCAAAAGATACAGACTTCATGTTTATGTGAAGTCAGAACTGCAACGAACAAATTTCAACTAGAAATTTAAAAATTAAAAAAAGTTTTAAAGGGTGCCAATGCAGCAACTGCTTAAATTAAAACAAAGAACTTTCTTCATTGAGGCTCAACATCAATTCAGGACTTACTTTTAATAAGTAAGTACAACATTATTTATATGGCACCTCTCAAGATAAAAATCACAAAGTGCTTCGACAAATAAAATAACAAAAGCACAAAACTAATTTAAGCAAAAGCAGATTTAAAAAGATGAGTTTTTAGCTGGCCTTTAAAGGAAGCCACTGAGTCCGCTGATCTGAGAGTTTGAGGAAGGGAGTTCCAGAGTCTTGGAACCACAGAAGAAAAGGCTTTGTCTCCTTTAGTTTTCAGTTTTGTCTGAGAGACAATCAGCAGGTCTTGATCACAGGATCTCAAAGCCCTGATCAGGGTGTAGGGATGTAAAAGTTCTGAGATGTAAATTGGTGTCTGTCCATGCAGAACTCGCCAAGTCAAAACCAAAACCTTGAAATCCACTCGATAATGAACTGGGAGCCAATGAAGTTGCTTTAGAAGTGGAGTTATATGACAACATTTTGAAGATCCAGTCAAGAGTCTAGCAGCAGCATTCTGTACAAACTGCAACCGGTCTAGGGAGGTTTTGGTTAAACACGTATACAGAGCATTACAAAAATCCAGGCGAGATGAAACAAAAGCATGAATTAACATTTCCAACCCTGGAAACAGTATGGCTAAGCTTGGCAATATTTCACAGATGGTAGAAACAGGAACAAACCAGAGACTTTACATTATTTTCCAGAGTAAAACCTGAGTCAAAGGTTATCCCAAGGTTTCTAACCGAGGATTTAGAAAAATGACCAAGTGGCCCAAAGATCAGCTTTATGATTGCAGTAATTTTTTTTCTGGAGCAAAGATGATTACTTCAGTTTTCTCTCAATTTAGCTGGAGAAAACTTGCAGGACTGCAACAGGAGGTGGGCCGTCTGAAGCAGCTGACCGGTACAGGTTGGCCAGAAGGACTGCAGTTTTGGTGGTTGCGGATGTAAAAACTCGGGCACGGAAGGAATTTGGGGAGGCCATGGAGAAGGACATACGGTTGGCCTTAAGGAGGTTCTGGCGAACCATTCGGTGACTCATAAAAGGAAAGCGGCTCTTTTCCCAGGTTGTGCTTGGTTTGGGTGGGGGGGTTGCTGACCTGGACTGCAGATATTGTTGAGGGGGAAGGAGCACTTCTAGCAATTCCTTTATCCACCTACCATGTCCACTTTTTGGGAGGAAGAGTCTGAGGACTTGAGGGAAGTCGAGTCCACTGCCATGACAGAGGTCATCCAGGTAGTCAAAAAGCTCGTCTGTGGCAGGGCGCAAGGTCTGGACAAGATTTGACCAGAGATGCTGAAGGCTCTGGATGTTGTGGGGCTGTCATGATTGACACGTCTCTTCAATGTCACATGGAAGACTGGGACAATGCCAGTGGAGTGATAGACCGGACTGGTGGTCCCCATTTTTAAAAGGGGGGGCCGGAGAGTGTGTTCCAACTATCTTGGAATCACAATTCTTGCCCTCCCTGGTAAAGTTTACTTCAGAGTGTTGGAAGGGAGGCACCGACTGATTGTCAAGCATCGGATTCAAGAGAAACAGTCTGGCTTCCATCCTGGTCATGGAACAGTGGACCAAATCTTCACCCTTACAGAGTTGCTAAATAGGTCATGGGAGTTTGCTTCTCCAGTCTATGTGTGTTTTGTGGACCTGGAAAAGGTTTATGACCATGTTCCTCAAGGCATTTTGTCAGGGGTGCGGTGGGTGTATGGGTGGCCTAGGTTGATTTTAAGGGCTATCTGGTCTCTGTCTCACAAAAGCAGGAGCTGTGTTTGCATTCTTGGCACAAAGTTGAGCTCGTTCCCATTGTGGGTTGGACTCTACCAAAGCTGTCCTTTGTCTCCGATCATGTTTGCGGTGTTCATGGACAGGATCTCAAGATGCAGTTGTTGAGAGGAGGGTATCTGGTTTGAGAACCTCAGGGTCTCATCTCTGCTTTATGTGGATGATGTGGTTCTGTTGGCATTTTCAGGCCAAGACCTTCAGCGTGCACTGGGGCAGATTGCAGCAGAGTGTTAAGTGGCTGGGATAAATGTCAGCTCCTCAAAGTCGGAGTTCATGGTTCTTGACCGGATGGGCGGAATACCCCCTCTGGATCAGGGGAGGGTGTTTGCCTTGGGTGAAGGAGTTGAAGTATATGGGCGTCTGGTTCACAAGTGATGGTAGGATGGAGCGAGACATGGATTGAAAGATAGGGGCCTCGTCCTAAGTAATGAGGGTATTGTTTTGGTCCGTCATAGTGAAGATATAGCTGAGTCGAAAGGCAAAGCTCTCAATTTACTGCTCTGTCTACATTCCAACCATCCCCTAACAGGTCATCAGATTTGGATCATGACCAAAATAACGAGATCCTGGATACATGTGGTTGAAATGGGCTTCGTTTGCAGGGTGACTGGGCTCAGCCTTAGAGATAAGATGAGGAGCTCTGTCATCTGGAGGGAGCTTGGAATAGAGCTGCTGCTGCTCCTCATTAAAAGGAGTCAGTTGAGGTGGTTTGGGCATCTGATTAGGATGCCTTTTGGACAACTCCATTTAGAGGTTTTCCGGGCACGTCCCACTTGTAGGCGGGCACCAGGGAAGACCCAGAATTAGCTGGAGGAATTGTGTGTCTTCTCTGGCCTAGAACAAGCTGGAAAATGTTGCTGGAGAGAGGGATGTCTGGGATTTTCTCCTGGAACTGTTGCCTCCGTGACCTGACCACAGATAAGTGGTAGAAGAAGGAGAAGGAGTCAGCCTTAAAGTTTGACAAGGACGGCACTTGTGTCTCCACGCCACCCTGACATGATCTTGTATCATTTATTAGTATTTAGTTTGTGAATGACTCTCAGCTACTACCAGACTAAATATTAGCATAAAAATTTTACTGACATTACAGACAAAGGCAAACTAATGCCGATGCAAGCAAAAACATGGTCCTCTGCCCCTTTAACAGCGAGAAATCATCAGGGCGTAGAGATGAGCTTACACTTGGATGCTGAGTTTGTTGTCGCAAAGTGTACAATGATCATTGACCATTTTTCTATGTTGTTATTTTTATTGTTTCATTTTATTTTTGCATTCAGTGCATTATAAATCAACACATTGTGCATTAACGGCTTTTAACATCCACTGGGTATGTTTCTAGCACTACAGAGATCTGGTGCAAGCACATTAGACAACATGGCCTCACCTGCCAGAGATGAGAGGGGAGAGTGAGGTCGAGGTAAACCTGACGACTGGCCACTTCCAATCAGGCTTTTTCTGTTGCTTGTTCTACAACTAAAAAAACAGAGGCACATAATAGACAGGAAATGAGACAATGTAAAATAAACAAAAACAAAATACGATAGGATGGCATTTTAAACCACCAGTCATGCATTTTTTTGCTATTAAGCAGTGTAGTCCACAGAGCTTCTCCGTAATATGACAAAGAAGTTCAGCTTGTCAGACACTGAAGAAGAAAACACTTTAAATAAAAAATGCAAAACTAAACTCAACCAAAAGGAAATGGACTAGACAACAAAAAAGGCAGAACAGGAATCATATGCTTTTATTCAGTTAAACAGTTTAAAAACAGGACGTTACCTTCTGGATTAGTTATGAATTTAGTGAATTAATGTGTTAGGATGTGGTGACTAGAAATATTCTAGTTCAGCACAATGAAAGGAAGCTTTATTTATTGACAGTATAGTGAGAGCAGACTAATGAGGACAACACTTTGGTTCCATAATTCTAGTTGGATTTGGCAATAAGCAAAAAATACAAATAAAAAAAACATCTCTTCATCACAAACTCACTCAGGTTGTCTATCTACCAGTAGTTGTCAAATCTTTATAACATCCTATGCTTGATTTCCATGGTATCACAATATCAGCTGACTTAGACTAGGTTCATTAAAAGAATTATTAAAAAAATATACTATTGTGTACACATCTATTCCTGTAGCATTTAGGACTCAAGATAAGTCAGTAAAAATGGCAAATCTATTAATAAAACAACTCCAGTGGTTCAACATTACAGGTGCATCTAAAAAAATAGAGCATTGTAAAAAAAAAGTATTTTCTACTCATCATATTTGAAGTCTGTAGTACAAAAGGATGATGGGGGGCTGGGGTTAGATTGGCCATGGTGAAAATGTGTCATGCGGCTTGGATCCTGGAGATAACTGCTCACAGTTCTAGTTTCACTTTGGAATTCTTTACACCGACATTGATTTCACGTCACACTTGTGTTTTTTGCAAAAACATGAAGCTTTTTCAGCAGTAAGTGATCCAGGGCCAAGTCATTTTAAGAAGTCAGCAATCCAGTATGATCCAGTTTCTGACTGCATTCTGACTAGCTTTAGCTCGTCTGTTGTGTCAGACATAAACTGTTTCTCCAAACTAAAGTTGTTAAAGAAAAGAAAGAAGAGCCATCTACATATGAGAAAATAATTATTCATACCATATTTACAAAACTCCACTTCAAAATTTCAGAAACACTTTTGTTGTATTTGTGTTACATTTAATGAACATTATCACCTCAGTTACTGGTACTCAGAAATTTGATTGATTTAGTTTAAAGGTTTTTAAATCCTGAAAAGTCAATGTCAAGAACATTTTAAAAGCAAAAAATAAGTAACTACAAAAATTTGACTGAATTTTTAAAATACTTGTTTTATTTATAATGCAAAAAAAAAAAGACCAAGTATTTGGTTCAAAAAGATCTTTCAATGGCACACCTTAACGTTACAAGCAGACTATACAAGTTATGAGTAAGAAGGCCACAAAAACAAGTGACATAATATTTTGGTTTGCTCACAAAAAAGCCAGTTCTGTGAAGAACATTCAGGTTTTCACATTAACTGGTCCGGCTATTACAGGACAGTGACTCGCATGGAGTCACTGTGATCAGCAACGTGTTCTCAAAAAACATAAATAAATAAAACCCCTTTTTAACACTGAGGGCAAGAAATGAAATATTTCTAAGTAAAAACAGCTGCAACTCCGTTTTCTTGCTTAGAATTGGTTTTATAATTTCAGATTACAGGCTGTTAAAGGAAACAGGTTCACGTCAAGGTCATGAACTCAAATCAAAAATGTGCTGGTACATAAGCTCCTTAGAGGCATAAACCATTTCTAGCTGAGTTTCACTACATGATAATTCAGTAATAATCTGAATTCTACAAACTGCAGAAAATTAATGTTCTTTTTTCTCTCTCCAGTGTTTAGCTGAATGGGCAAAATATATAACTATTTACTGCAGTGTTAAAAACAAACAACAACAAAAAAATGTTAAAGAAATGAAGACACAGGATGGAAGGATGTCATTCGTGCATGTGCTGCTGCAAAGATATCAAACAGAAAAATCTGATTAGGACTCTGGATCCAACAGCCAAGCTGAAAACCCACGAGCTGACGGTCTTCATGTCTCTGATGTGACTGCTTCAGAGTTGCTGCTGCAGGTTCCATTGAATCGACGCATCATCATCACTTTGGTAAAGTCAAGAACTACACAGTTCTTATTCTGCTCAATAAATTATGTTTCCATAGAACAAGACTTAATAAACAGTTTGCCAGAAAATCCATGAAAATGAGCAGTACACATTAACAATACATGATAAAGACTGGCAGCACGGTGGTGCAACTGGTAGAGCTGCTGCCTCTCAGCGAGAAGGTTGTCGGTTCAAATTCCGGTCCGGGGGCCTTTCTGGGTGGAGTTTGCATGTTCTCTCCGTGCATGCGTGGGTTTTCTCCGGGTACTCCGGTTTCCTCCCACAGACCAAAAACATGCATGTTAGACTGATTGGTAACTCTAAATTGTCCCTAGGTGTGAGTGAGAGAGTGAATGGTTGTTTGTCTTGTTTGTCTCTATGTGTCCCTGTGATGGACTTGCGACCCGTCCAGGGTGTACCCCGCCCCTCGCACAGTGATTGCTGGACATGGGCACCAGCGACCCCCGTGACCCAAAATGGAATAAGAAGGTAAAGATAATGGATGGATGGATGGATGGTAAAAAATGGTTTTGTGGCCCATTAATTGCCCCATTTTTATGTAAAATCTTAACTGATCTTTCATTTATTATTCATTTACTAACCTTTATTTAACCAGGCAAATCCCATTGAGATCGCAGAGCTCTTTTGCAAGGGAGGCCTGGGATGCATATTGTTTTTAGACTGTGGGAGGAAAGCTGGAGAAAACTTTTGAGGAGAACACCGAACAGAAAGACTCCAGGTCCAAATCAGGGATTGAACCCATGATTGCCTTGCTGTGAGGCAACAGTGATCGCACGATGGCCCCAAAGCCATTGCGCTATGAGAGAGGAAGCCCTTTAATGAGTAAAATGTCCCTTCATGCATGTTTATTCAAGGTGTTTCCAGGGCTAACCCAGCAATCAGGAAAGTGGACACAGCATGAATCATGTATCATGACAGAGACGTAGTATCTGGTACACATACGCTCGGTCACAGAGGATATGATTTAATGAGATCTATTTATATGCTCTCACTGTGGATTAATGCCACACTGCTGTCTAATCAAGCCTTTTGTTACTTCACCCTCTCACCTTTCATCACAGCATATGGAGCATTACAACCCGTCACAAAGCTGAGTACCAGTCGTGCACACATCAGAATTAATGCTTCTGATTTACTTCACACACAAAAACAACTAGCACAGTTTGTGAAGGAAGGTTCTCCTCTACATAGTTGATGCAAAGGTGAGCTTTAGTAGGAAAACCAGTAAAAAGGAGAATTATGTTTGTAAAATGATGTTTTAAAACTTGGAGAAAGTAAGTCAAACTCAACCTCATCAAATCTTTTTTTTTTTTTAAACTTCAGACAACCAACAACAAAGTCTTTAGTCAGTGACTAAAAATACGTTCTCTCACCAGCATCTAATAGTTTTATTTTTGTCTCTCACTCGCACATAACAAGAAATGTCAAAACGTAAAAAAATTAATAAATCCTAGTTCTATTTCTAGCAGTGGGAGAAAAAAAGATAAAACCATTTGGTCTTCACAACTTTGATTAAAGCAATTTACCACTTTGATCCTGACCCATGTCAAAAACATGATGAACGTCTTTAACTTCTGTAGTGGCACTCCAGCGTCACAGCTGTCAGGTGAGCAGATAAAGGCTTGTGACAAGCTTCAGTGATGTGCTGACAAACCCTGATTCAAAGTCAAACACAGACACACAAGCATCTATTAATAGTTACTTAAAAGTTCTTGTTTATATATAAAACTGGCACGTGATATGTCTCTTTATGCTACTCTGGGTTTCTGCAGGTGAAGATTCACAGAATAATGCTTGAACATTCAATTGTGAATTCTCTATTGAGTTTTTTTCCTGTCAAAGTTGGATTTCAACCATTTTTCAGACGGGGGCTGAGGTGGTGTAGAGTTAGGGCAGCCGACTTGGGACCCGTAAGTCCCAGGTTCAATCCCCAGTCATTGCACATGTCGTGGTGTCTCTGAGCAGGACAACCTATCCCCAATTGCTCCCCAGACGCCCTCAATAGCTGCCCACTGCTCCACCTGGGTGTGGATGGGTTAAATGCAGAGAGCCAATTATTCCATTGTATGGGAACATACAATGATGACAACACATAAGCTGTGGGGCGGCTGTGGCTGAGTGGTTAGAGCAGTCGTCCTCCAATGCAAGAGTTGGAGGTTCAATTCCACCAGCAGTCACATGCCAAAGTGTCCCTGGGCAAGACATCGCCTCCAACGTGTCCCATCGGTGTATGAATGTGATAAATCACTGATTAGTCTCATTAGAATGATTTGTTCAATTAGCTTTGTATAGTTCTAGTAGAGTGTTGTATAAATGGGTAAATGAGGCACAGATTGTTGTAAAGAGCTTTGAGAGTCTTGACAAGATAGAAAGGTGCTTGATAAGTACAGTTCATTTACCATTTACCTACACATTATTATACAATTATTTATTTTTTTTTTTTTTGGGGGGGGGGGGGGGGGTGTTAAACACTTAGATGACAAATTTAATACATTTTATAGTCTTGAATTTAAGTTAAATACAGGTCTAGCCTTCCTTGAAAGAATGCATTTAACAATTTTTCATTTAGGAGTTTTAAGGTTGAATCATCTTATGTTGAGAAACGATAGCCCTTAAAAATAAAGTTGAGTGCAGTTTGATAGCCGAGAGTCATTTACAACTTATACTATAAGTGCCATTACTACACAACATTTAAGCTCCGTATCAGCCACACTGAATGAGATAGCTGTCAATGGGAGTGGTGGCGCAGAGGGTAGAGAAGGTGAGCCTGTGATGGGAAGATCAC